CCCCAAAACCCCAAAACCCCAAAACCCCAAAACCCCTCATTTTCCCATTGAGTTTGTTAAAATTTTCTAGGTCAGCCTCTCTGACGCCGTACCTTTTCTCTAAGGTATAAATCACAGTGCAGTAGCGGGTTTTCATGCACTGAATAGCTTTATGCAAGTCATAGTACGGGATCTTCTCAGATTTGGAGTAAGGTAGGTAGGCTAAAGTTAAGGAAGTCGGAGGAGATGTCACCGAAGAGAGTGGGGTCGGGAGTTTTAAGGATTTAACATTATTTGAATGTGTCGCCTGAGAAGAGACGACAGCACTGGAATCAGTCCTTTCTGTTATAAACTCCTTGAAGCTGGTCATCAAAAGTTACATTTGGTTCATAAAACTCTTCTGTCTCAAAATCCTTCTGTTCTAGGATAAACTTCTCAACTGCACTCTGAGTTTGTTCTTCCACCAAGTTTGGCTGCAGTAAATCTTGACTTGTTCTGTCAAGTATAGAAAGAGAAGACTTGGAAGTAAGCCTATTCAGAGCTTTTTGAAACTAGTATTTCCTTCATCATCTTTTGCCTGACTTCCTTGAGAGTTTTCCTTTGTAAAATATTTTTGACTTTAAACCAAGGTTAGAAGAGAATATGGAGCCACAGAAAATGTTAATAATCTATCTAATAACTGAACGAGGCTCAATCACAAATTCTTGCATTATTATTCGAAACCAATTTTTGCTGAAATGCTATTGTAGATCAGGAAGAAGACTTTCAGCTCAATAGAACACATTTTTGAAGAAAATAGACCTCATCTAGTTTGGAGGCAAGTACGGTAGCTTTCTAAAAAACATAGCATGTTTTAATTAAGCATAGAGATTCAGAGAAACTTAAGCTAAGTTCTTACTCAATTATTTTGTTCTTAAAAGGAGCATAATCAAAATTTATGAATGATTTGTGATTCTGAGCAGCAATCAGAACTCCTTTATTTAATTTTAAAATCACTGATTTATCAAAAATTCTGATTAATGTTGCTATATGTTAAAAGTAGAGTGTACTCATGGTCATGGATTTAAACATTGATTTGATCTTTCCAATGATGAACATGAGATTACTTTTAGCCTTTAATGTTTCATCCATCAGTAGCTGACTAACAGAGTACTTGAACTTATAATTATTCCAAATATCTTCAAATTCTTTCAAAGTAAACTCTGCTACTACAGTTTTTGTACGGGTGATACACCAGTTGTCAATCTCGATAGTCTCATCTTAATCAAAAGAATTTCCTATGATATCTCCTTGACGAAACCGAGCCAAAATTCTGGAGGGGATTAAATTTTCAGCATGAGATTTGAGTACCACATCGCCTGAAAGAACAACTGATGCTTTTCTATGTGTAAAAATAACATAATTTTTCTCATATTCTTTTATTTTTAAGCCGACAACTCAATTTAGGATTGGGTACTTCTCGTCATCTAAAACTTAGTAGTAGCTACTTACCATCAGGCAAGGTTCTTTTGCTAGGTGAAGACTTCTTCATCATCTCTTTATATTCCTTACTTTTAAGAAAATTATCATCCTTGATGGAGTAAAACTCTGTAAAGGCTTTGAGACCCTCGATATGCTTAATTTTAGATTTTCTGTCTCTGATTAGAGGACTAGCATGAGCCCCCATGTGAATTTGATAAGGTCTCTTCGCTCAATTCTGTCTAGCTAGGTCTGTAATTTACAAAAGCATTCACTTGATTGGGAGAAACTTCTAAGTTCCTTGTAGTTCACAGCGATAAGGTACATCAAAGATTGTCAAGTTCATCATCATTAGGTTTCATCTTGAGACCTTTAAGTGTAAAATCAAGACTAAGCTTGTAAATTGTGGTTTTATACAATATCACCCCTATTGCATAAAGAGTTTCTATTTTTTCAGGGTACAAGAGGTTGACTTTTGAAAACCATCATAGGGCAGTTTTTGGCTTCCTAATATTATTGTATAAGCACCCCAGATTGTACAATATCATATATTTCTTCTTATTTGGTATACGAAGCATTGTTCTTTGATGAACTCATATTAGCCTCTAAGCCAAGCATGTGATCGATATTGTTAGAGATATTCATTCTCCCCTATTTTCTGGAGATATAGCTCTGATTTTAAGTCATGTATTTAGCAAGTTATTATCAGTATTTTCATCCTTAAGTGTGTCTTACTTCGTAAACCGTACAATATAAGTCTTTATAGTCTGGGCATCAGTCTCATTCTTATCTGAATTTCCATGACCCTGCAGGGACGAGAACCTATTATTGTATTTCATGAGTTAACTTTTGTAATTCAGGAACATTTTCTGAGCAATATATTTGGCAAACTGGGACTTGAACTTCCCTGAAAGGGCCTAGAATTTTCAATGGACTTTTACCTTTTCCTTCAAATACAACTTTTTCACAGGCTTCTTGTTCTTGATGACTCGATGTTTTTGCTTGTAAATCTTAGAGCCGGTATGATTACTAGCTACTACAGAAATTATCTCGCTGTTTATAATTTGTTTGGAGAATCCATGCTTGAATCAGAGATGATAGACTCGTTACGGCTAAATAGAGTCAACACTTTATTCATCTCAATATGTTTCTTTTGCTGCTTTGTGTACTTGAAAAGAAGCTTTTTCTCTACAAAGTTATACACTTCAGCCTACTTCTCATGTCAAAAGTGTATTTAGTTGGCTTACAAGATTGGTAGCTGTCGTTCTCAATCTTAAAGCCATTAGCATTTGGAAGATCTTAAAATGATAAAGAGTCTAACTACATGACTAAATGTCCAATTTCGTCATGAGACATTGACTTCAGTGTATAGTTGTTAAGTCTTCGTTGATATCGTGAATTCTTCTTCAAACTTTCAGGTCTTTTATTAACTAAGCTCATTACACTTGCTAAAATTTACGGTTCATAAGTTTAGAACTCATTTTAAGGGCTTTATTAGTATTTTGAGAAAGATTTCTTAGCTTCCGACTATCTGCAAATTTCTTACTCGATCTAACATGAGCTTTCTTTGAGAAGACCTGGGAGTTCTGGAGGCTAAACTTCCTGCTACCATTTTGGCTCCTGTTAATCCTACTGTTGTAGCTCTATAATGGGGGTTAGGCTCTAAGGTGGACTAAGGAGTCAAGACTTACTTGTAGAGCTGATGCTGGTTTATTTTACCTTGTTGAAGAATTGATGATCTTAAGAAGTATGCCGACATAGCATCTTCTTCAAATCCTTAAATGACTCACTTGAAATTGATGGTTTATAATCTTTTGAGATTTTCTCTATAAATAGCAAACTTGTGGGGTTTTGGGGTTTTGGGGTTTTGGGGTTTTGGGG